GTACAAGTGCCAGAGATACACTATGTACAAGCGCCAGAGATACACTACTTACAAGCAACAACTCTGGGAATGTGTTTCACTGGAATAGACATGGTGACTATCTAAAATAATATACCAAGCACAGATCTGACATTTATTTATTAAATTACAGTAAGTATGAACATAGGTGAAAAAATATACCAAATTATACATCAGAAGGAAAAAGCACATCACCAGAGTTACCAAATGAGCAATTGACAAAAGTATTTTAGTTACAAAAGTATACATAATCCTATAGTTGCTTAGTACAAATAAAGAAATTCTATAAAAATTAAATAAAGGATAATAAACTTTCTGGTTTAAAATAAAAGCTGATTAAGATAATTAGATGGAATGCATAACTTCATAAAAGAGGGTTATTCCATGAGATTCTTTTAATTTACATTAGCTAAAACCTGCTGTTATTGAGTTACATGAGTATTGAGTCAAGCTGAACGAAACTAAAATATTTATATGAATAACAAAATACAGTTGCAAAGTCTAATTTACAACAGTTTAGTAATCAAATATCCATATACAGTACTATAATGAGAATTCATAAGTGTTTCTAAGGTAGAGTTGCCAATAACATCACAGCACAGGATTCAGGAAAGTATTCAATACACTTTAAGTGAAGAACTTATGGTTACACAGGACATGTTAAAGGATCTCAGGGCGAGGGTAAAGATTTCCAGTCTACACGAAGGCTCAAATCTTACAAGTAGCCAACTATCACCGAGATTGTATTAGGAAGCGAGTTGTTATTAGTTCTCTTGGTGTGTCTTCGACTACAGAAACAAGATATATTTACTACTCTAGAAATTTTATACACATAAAACTTGATAAATAAAAATATATTATATGTAACAAAAGGCTTTTCATCATTCTACTTTACAGACAAATTAACTCAAAATAATTAATCCCCAATCCCCAATTAATTCTTCAAATAATCAAATTCCCTGTAAGTGACTTACCACAGCATGTTACATGAGACCAAAGTGAAGGTGGCAGAAGAAAGAACTGGAAAGTTATATTATAAAACAACAAGAAGTTATATTTACTGGGAAGTAAGTATTGTAGACATCCAGCTTTGGGTACATATAACTGTATTTACATCGTTATTTACCCTGCACATGACGCAGCTCAACACGAAAGCCACATCGGGAAATACGCTCTGAAGTGTGGATCCATTTCATATATCTCTGGTTGGTATGCAAAATAGTTTCAAATAAATCTTACTACTTTTCCTAAGCTTTGCCTTTAGAGACACCTAAAAGTGTTTTTATTTATACAAAGGATAGTTTTATTGATTAAAAAATATTTGCAAGATTCTTCATCTGACCATTTAATAGTATATTGAGGGTAACATCAGACAAAACACACTAAGATATAGAAGCTCTTCCTGTACTTAATAAAATACTGACATATTTTCCTATAGCGAGAAAACATATCCATCTAAATTCACTATCTTATGTTTTAACTATAATACTGTACATCAGTTTACGATTCTCAGGCAAACATTATTCTGAACAAGTTTCACCTCGAGCAATGATATTTGAATTGCTTAACAATGAATGAAAAAACCAGTATCTTAAATAATACAAAGGAACAGCTACTATATCACATTTATAAATCACTATTAAATTTTGTTGAGGTTACCATTGATAGAAATCCTCTGTCAACGGACAACAGCTAACCTAACACGTTTATGGCTGTACATCAAATATTTACATGCCTATAGAGCAGAAGAAATTAATGCAACCAAATAATTGCAGCCATCCCAGTGAGCTTCAGACACAAGACAGATTACTATGATTATTTCATGCACCAAACTCAACACAAATCCAGATGCAATTACTGTACTAATAAAAAAATCTCCGAATGCAATATTTACCCAGGCCAATAAACGTGACACACTTACTGTCGTTGCTGAGCATATAAGGGTCATTGTGACCTTATACTTGTGCTCGTCATATTGCACATCAATTGTCACAAATACTTGGCTCCATTCCTCAAAATCAGTGAACACAAGATCAGAAAAAATTTGGTTATTTTCTTTTTAACTTATGCATCTTTTATAATATCTTTGCTTTCTTATCAGTAAAAATTAGATCACCTTATTGTATTGTAAAAGTATCACTTAATGATTTACAACTAAATTAGCAAAATTTTATTATAATAAAAACACCACATAAGGAGATCTGGAAGATTAACAGCAACAATTACCATATTGTAGAATATGACAAGGTTTTACATTATTACTAAATTATACAAGGCTTGTTCACACTGAAGATTATACATGGCTTGTTCACACTGAAGATTATACATGTTTTGTTCACATTGATTATGCACACTCATGAAGTTACCTTAAAGCTTGCCAACAATGTATATACAGCATACATAATAACTGGCAGTCATGAGCATTCCATATTCAACCAGCAAGGACGCCTCTGTTTCCCTACGGAGGCAACACTCGGGGAGAAAAATAACCCCCAGCGACAAATATTTTATTATACATTTTCGAAAAAATTAAGTATTTAATGCCAATACTAGTTTATTATAAGTTTGCACATCCAAGTTGTAGTAGACAATAAGTAAACTTGGATTTGGAATGGGACTCCTTGCTCTGTCCCGTCTTAATATGGTATAGAATAGGCCACGACAAAGGCAAAGCTGATCCCTCAATAATGACACACTGCAGTACCATCATTGTAACTAAGATATGTTGTGATTTTTTAAGAATAGAATATAAATATCATCTCTTAAGGCAAAAATTTAATCAACATTCTGATGAAATGAATCACATTAATCATAAGCTGAACTTATGAGAACTTTTACATTGTAGAGAAACACATTAGAACTACACAAAGGATTTCATAAATCAGGTCCACTACCATAAGTGAACACAAGGACACAGTGCGTGAAGATGCACTAGTTTTTTGAGCAGCTCGCAAAACTTCACATATACTCAATGGCACTAGTAATTGCTGAAATATCTTGTAAGATGAATTTTGAGAAATATTTTCAGTAAATCTGAATGAAACAACAATTATTTAGAATAAGTTAATGAGGACCACAGAAAAATTATTCACTTTATGATGGGTGATGAAGCTAAATGTTGTCTGAATGGTGTTGTTAAACACAATTGCCAGGATTGAACTTGAGAGAGAGAAAGAGAGAGAGAAATGTATAGATATAGATAACAACTATGCACCAGCATGTGCTGCACTCTCACTGTGTTGGTGTGCAGTGTGGAGTTATGAGAAACTTCTTGATGTAATGCTATTTCACCTGCAATGATGGACCACTTGTTGAATAAAGTCAACAATAAGCAAATACAATGGGATTATATTTGTTCATCATGAATATTCTAAGCCTTAATCTTCAACCAGAAAAAAATTAATAATCAGGGAAAATATAGTGGTAAATAACCCAAGACTCCTGTGCCAGACCTTGTATAAGTTTTACGTTAGATTCATAAACAAACAGCATTTAACCTGAGCTTATGACTACATTTTAATAACTAGACATCCTTTGACCATGGGTGCTCTCAGAAGGTTCTCCTGAGCTCCTCTGTCAGCATATCTCAATATAATGTTACATGTTATTCCTAAAGGTACAAATCTTGACTGTCTCATGATACTTGTCAATAAAATAGGTTTGGTCATTGATGGGAGTGATGGAGAAGTAAGATTGAGGAGGTATGAATGATGCAGTGTGTAGGGGTTGGGGAGCAGAAGACTTCAGGATGAGAGAGTTGGGAGGGGTTGTGAAGTGGGTGGGGGTAGGTCACGACATCCCAATAACCTAAATTTTTGGGATCGTCTCAAAGCTTTCCAAATGTACTCATTAGAAAGGAGACGAGAGAAATATAAAATAATATACACATGGAAAGTACTGAAGGGCCAGGTCCCAAATCTACACAGTAAAATAACAACGTACTGGAGTGAACGATATGGAAGAAAATGCAGAATAGAACCAGTGAAGAGCAGGGGTGCCATAGGCATATTCAGAGAACGCTGTATAAACATCAGAGGTCCTCGGTAGTTCAACATCCTCCCAGCGAGTATAAGAAATATTGCTGGAACAATTGTGGACATCTTCAAGAGAAAACTAGATAGTTTTCTTCAAGAAGCACCAGACCAACTGGGCTGTGGTGGATATGGGCTCCAAGCAACAGCCTGGTGGATCATACTTTCTCAAGTCAGCCTGGCCTCGGGCCGGGCTTGAGGAGAAGAAGAACTCCCAGAACTCCATCCAGCAAGTATCAAGCAAGTGGTGCAAGTGACAAGGTAGCAGTATTGAGGAGAAAGGTGTGCAGGTTGTGGTGTATGACAGTTAGGAAGGTTGTTGAGGGGAGGAAGACTTGCAATACAACAGTGGTGGCCAGATAGTGGTACAGCATTAGGTGGGGCAACAGTATCACTTAGTGATAAATCTATCTGGACTTGTCTCTTCCAATTTAGATCTCTCATAACCAACAAATACAAAATACAACTGCTGTCACTTGCCTTGGCTAAACGGTCCAATAACAACACAAAGCTCAGTTTAATGATCATTCATAAACGTGTGAAGTTTGAAGCCAATACACATGGCTCTCTCAAGATATTGCACAGATATTTAAAACAAAAAATAATAAATAGCAGTTACTGGGCTACAGTAACAAATGACAAAAAAAAAGCTGTTTCACGATCAGTCATCTCTCAATTGATTGGACTCGTATTCGATTCCCATGCAGATCAAGACATTTCAACCTGTCCTCTTAAAAATAATGTCACTTTTGGCTCGTATGTGCGCTATGGCCAAATTTGGATGTAATTTGAAATGAAATCGACTCACAAAAGTGACGTACTGTTCCGTTTTCTGTTTGAGTTGTCCGGCCTACTCGGTAAGGTTAGAAGAGGAAACTTTCAATTAACATTTTTCATGACGTTTTGAAATGTTATGAGAATTTCCTGCCCACCTAACCTATCAGAGGACCCTTAACTTACTGTTGTTAAAAAAAAAATCCCAAATTTATTTTAATTTTTTTTTCATTTTCAAATTACGTCCACTTTCGGCCATACGGGCAAACGGCCAAAAGCGACGTTATTTTTAAGAGGACAGTTTGGACATTTAGCCATATCTGCTTACAAGTGATGTGTCTGGCCACTGTGGTAAGACAGATTAGAGACAGTACCCCTACTGTACATGGTATCATTAATAAATAGGTGCCTGGGAGATGGACAACTGTTATGGGTTGTATCCACAGTAGGCTTTTTGGGGTTGCTATAACATCAACTGCCATCAGTAAAAGACGACCAGTTAAAGCAACCAAAAATGCACACTGGGTCCTGGGAAAAGGTGTGCAATTCGAGGGACCTCAATAAACACTAAGAGGCTTCCTGTCCAACACACTGGGGCACCATGTGTACTCGTGGCCACATTGTTCAAGTGTCACACCAACCACACATTTGACCCAAAATTCAAGTACAGTATTTTAAATGAATACAATGGAGCATTCTTGAAATATTGAGTAGAAATCTCAAGAAAAAATAAATATGACAAAACTAAGTTATCCATTACTAGGATACCTAATATTTATGCAATATAGCATTGTAAATGCAAGAGAGCAGTCTACATTATATACTAATTTCAAATACCTATCACAGACCTTTAGTAAGAAAACCACAGCTCTCTTGAAATGATAAACAAATTCTTAATATCGTTCCCAATTTTCTGATAGCCAAAATATATAATCAATTTTGGTATGGACTACAACCTCTAGAAATGCAATATATAACACTTGACTAAAATGTAAAACCAAAATGCAAAAACAGTACATTCACACTAAATTCTTTTTCTATAATTTTTTTTAAATTCAGATTTGATATACAATATTCTACATTCATATAAAAATTAATGAACTCTAAATTTCTCCAACACAGTTATATTTGAATACTTCACATGTTATTATCACAATGGTAACAAAGTAAAGATTTACAAGTTATACAGTCAGCTTTGGGTGTTAGCACGAGTACACATTAACATATGGAACTACTCGCTTCACATTCCTAAAACCTTGCACAAAAACAAAACAAAAAAAATAAGTTCAAATTGTGTAATGGAACTCTTGATCTACATAATCTACAGTACTTGTGTAAACCATTTATCTTGAGATTTAATCGAGTCAATAAGCTACAAGACTAACGTCATACTATTATCACATGGATTTAACATTCTTTGCACAGGCATTCCCACACACTGATGCCCTATACGAACCTTACGCATGGATTTCTCGCAAGACTGAGCTTTAAGACAGCTTCCTACTCATGCCATGACCATGCCACACAAAAAGAGAAATGACTTGGAAACTTGTTAAAACGCACTTATGATGCTCATTTGAACGTAATTATTTTTATCTACTGCAAGGTACATTGAGGATGAGTTCATCAGCCACCAAGAGGTTCAAGGAATTCATTGCGACCTTGCAATAGTAAAGATAAGAGATATTTATATCAAGACATATTAAAGTTAAGGGGTGGCTGGTTTATACATACACATCTTATGTCAGCATGGATTGTATATCTGTGTGATACTGTGATGATCCATATTAAACAGGAGGCAAGGCCCACAACGTGCACATCTTGTCTGCAGAAGTCGAGATGAAAGAGAAGTCAGTGGGATGCCATCGACCAGAGATGACTTTATCTTGGTGCTCGGCCACAACAACGCTGGGCAACGGCAGGGTCAGGTCACCTGCCAACACAACCAAAATGTAGTCATTTTTACCAAAAATTTATATATTTTTGTTTAGAACACTATATATAATTACAAACAATGACCACTTAAAGTACTTAGCTTTGGGAAAAGTAAAAAACCAGCGTTGAATGTAATGAAACGTAATTTTTTGGGCGACCCCAGGAGGCTCCTTGGTGCTATCATGCTAATGTATGATGTATTAGACTCTGCTAGGCCCCCGTGCTTGTACACGTCTCGGGGGTTTTCAGTGCTATAATCTACCCTCTTGTTATGTTTGGGTTTCTTAACCGGTTAGCAACACCTTGCCCGGGCTTCCCGTAGTTGTTAACCTACGGGCCCTGGAAACCCCTGTCTGGGCTCGGGGGACCATTGAATGTGTCTTCCGGGTTCCAACCCGTCTTGTACGGGATCGTTGGTTGCTGTTCCCTTGTCTCCGGGTGACAGTCGCCATTTTTACCTCCGTCATGCTGCCTGTTGGGTCACTGACACCTTGACCCGGAGTCTTGCGAGTGATTCTCTGCTTGTTCTCCAGTACTCTCCTGATGTTACTTCTGTTCAGAGTACAGGCGGCATCCGTGTTGCAAGCTAGGTTAGGTTGCTGCAACATGCTAGGTTGGTTTCCCACTCGAATGCCCCGTGGCCGCCCCGTTTGGTTAGGTGCTGCTCGCCCCTTTCTCTCCATGTTCCCGGCTCCGGACCGTCTGCGTGTTTCTGGGTCGGGGCGGGGTTCAGTTGCGGCAGAGACTCGGGCGGTTTTCGGGGGATGCCCCGTTCGGGTTGGGGACGGAGGTTTGAGCCTGTGCCTCCTGCCAAGGCTTCTGGGTCTTACCAGCGGCCCTTTCTTGTTGCCTTTCCCATGGGCTCTTGCTTTTCTTTCAGGGCGGAGGGCTTGGAGGACGGCTCTGCCCCGGGGCCTCTGTTGTTGGTTCCCGGGGCTGTGGGGGATGCCTACTAGCAGTTCTGGGGCGGTTTTGCCCCTTCAGGGGTTTTTCTGCTTTTGGGCGTCGTTTTTTTCGCCCTTCCAGTCTGCTAGCTTCCCACATTTGCTGGCGTGTTTTTGTGTATTAAGCGTCAGTCACAGCCCCTGCTGGCGGCCATTTTCGTCTGCCGGTTTCCCGGCGTGGCCACCAGGGCGGCGTTGCGGTTTGTTTACATGCGTCTGGGTGTGCGAGCAAGCGTCTCTGGTGAGTTTTCAAAATATTTGCAGGGTTTTTGTTCTCCTGTTGTCGTTTCTTTTTTTTTCTGGTGTTTTCTTGCTGTTGCCTGTTCCTCTGGGAACGTTTGGGTGTTGATTTTGGGTCTGAGCCTCTGGGTTTAGGCTCAGTGCCCCTGGCTGGTATGCTTGCTCCCACACCTTGCCCCTCGGTTTTCGGTCTGTTGGGACCGTTTTCCCAGGGCGTTCTGCTGGGGTCTGTGCTTTGCCTTTTAGTGGTGTTCTCCGCCGGCAAATGTGGTGGTTTGGGCTCCCCCTGGTTCGATTCTGGGTTCCTTTGGGTTCCTTGGTTTCGTTCTGGAGGTTTCTTCCTCTTGGGCCCCCTTTTGTGGGTTCAGGGGACTTTGTTTCCTCGTGTGACCCGGTTCTGCCTTTTGGGGTTCCGGGGTCTTCCTGGCTTGCAGACTGAGCTTTTTGGGTCTTGGCACATGTTGTGGTTGTGCTGGGGCTTTGTGGTTTTGCTGTCGAGGTGGGCCTTTTGATGCAGTTTTGTGCCTTCTTTGCCTGGCCGGCGTAGTGCTCTTTGCCACTAGTCGGCGGCTTGTGCTTTTACAATATGTGTCCTCACCTAGTTGTGCTTGTGGGGGTTGGGCTCTGGCTCCTTGGTCCTGCCTCTCAACCGTCCGTCAACAGGTGTATCGGTTCCTGTGCCTCTTGGGCTCTGTCATGTCTACATGTGACATTGTATGGGGGTCAGCCTCGTTACTTGTGTGAGGAGTCGCCACATTACTTCTTAGTGCTTTCCCGTTCCCGTTCTGTCACTCAAAAAAAAAAAAAAAAAAAAAAAAAAAAAAAAAAAAAAAAAAAAACTACTTCTATCTGTGGCTCTTTTGGGTACTCAGTTTCCACCTGTGTCCCCTAGTGCGTGTGCCCCTTGTGTTACATATCCTGTCCTTCTCAACCCTGTCGATTCCCTTGGGTATCTTGTATGTGGTGATCAGGTCTCCCCTCACTTCCTCTTCCAGCGAAGTGTGGTTTCATTCCCGTAGTCTCTCCTCATGACTTCGGTAGTGTACTTTTTCTTTCTGAAGGGTTCTGTTCCCTTCTCTGTTGACTGGGCGCTGGGGGAGCAGCTTGCTCTGTTGCCTCTCGCTTGGTCCCGCTGTTGGTGGGCGCTTTGGGTTGTCTTCCGGCCTCTGCTGGCGTCGGAGGACGGCTTCTCCCCCTTGGGGGGGGTTCAGAGCTGGCGGGGTGGGCTTCTTCCCTGCGCTTCATTTCCTCTTCGTGGGTGCGTGGGGCGTGGTTGATCCGCCCCATCCTTCTGGGCTTCCCGTCTGCTCTTTGCAGTCATGAGCTTTTCCAGTCTGCAGTTCTTCTGGACTACTACCGTCTGCGCCCTGGATCCTCTGCCCTGCTCGGAGGACTGTTGTCTCCTGTTCGGATTCTGTTAGGGCCGGGTGCATGGATGGTGGACCTGGACCTCCAGGTCACTTCTTGGCACGTTCCTCTCCAGTTTTTCTGGGGCTAGCACGGTTGGTAATTACCTATGTGTACTTACCTAAGTGTAGTTACAGGATGAGTGCTACTCTCGTGGTGTCCCGTCTTCCCAGCACTCTTTGTCATATAATGCTTTGATTATAATTGTCATATTGTCATATAATGATTGTCATATGTCATAATGTCTTCATATGATTGTCATACAATGCTTTGGTGTTGGGGCTTCAGGTTTGCTGTTTTTATTGCATTCCCTATTTTGTGAAGGGCACTTTGTATACTCTTTGCATCTTTACCGGATCTTAGTGCCCTGTCTGCGTCTGAGATTCGGTGTCTGGCCTACCTCGACGACTGGCTGGAGTGGGCTCCCAGTCAGTCCGCTTGTCTGCTCGCCAGGGGATGGTTCTTTCCAGATCGCTGGGTTTGGTTTCCTGGTGATCTGGAGGTTTTACCTTCTGTTTCCGTCCCGGGTTCGGACCTGGGCCTTGTTTCAGGCTCTTGGGCCCCTCATTGTCTTCCCTCCAGAAGTGTTACTGTGGCTGTGGTCCCGCCTTTGGCTGTTCAGGAGGGGGTCCCGGGTTGCTCAGCGGTTGCTTGGGCGGTTGTGCGGGAGTTTGCACTTCGGCGTGCTTGTCTGCCCGCGGAGTCGGGTTTGGCTCCGGCGTCGGTTGGTTCCTACGGAGACTCCACTTCCGCCTCTTGCATTCCTTGGGTTCCTCTGGGGATCTGGTGTTGGTGCTGCGTCACCAGCTTCCTCTTTGGGGTTTTCGGGGTTCCGTGCCTTGGCGGCTCCCCGAGCCTTCGCTCGATGTGTTCACGGACGGGTCGTCTCTCGGCTGGGGCTTTGTGACCAGTGCTCACCAGGTCGGCCGAGGTTGATGGAGTCTGTCTGTCCGTCGGGCTCACAGCCTGGTTCAGGTGTTCATGGCTGTCTGGTTTGCGCTTCGGAGGGTTTGGGTCACTAGGTACTCTACCGTTCAGCTCTGTTTGGACTGTTCTCTGGTGGTTCTTGCCGGAACCACAGGGGGTTTGGTTAACCGTGTGGTTCGTGTCCGGGGTGTGTCCTGCGTCCTGGTGGACAGCTGTCTCGGTTCATTCCTCTTCGTGGGTTGGCCAGTCGTCGCCGATTTGTTTTGTTGGCTCTGTTGGGCTTATGGACTCCTGGCCATGGACGTCTTCGGGTCGGCGTGGTCTAGGCGTCGCCCGTTTTGTGGCGCCCTTCCCACCTGCGAGGACTTCACGGTGAGGCTTTCGGCAGGCCTGGTCGAGGTGGGGGGTACCTGTACCTCTTCTCCCGGTCCAGCTGTTGCTTCGGGTTCTGGCTCAGTTGCGGCCCATTCCCACGAGAACAGTCCTTTTGGTTCCACTGTGGCCGGCCCGGCCTTCTTTTCAGACGCTGCTTGATAGGTGTCCGTACCCGGGGCGTTTTTCCTGAGGCTTCGCCTCTTTCAGCAGGCCGAATCGGTCCTGTCCGTGACTGGTTCGGCCTTCTCTTTGGCTCTTCGCGTCTGGTATTTTGACGCAGGTATCGCCATCTCTATGGTGTTCAGGTGGCTTTGTTGACGGTGTCCCACCTGCGAGCTTCGTCTTGGAGACTGTATGACGTTTATTACGTCTTCTCGCGTTTTGTTTCCCCTCCGGCCTGCTCATGAGTCGCCTGAGCCATCCTGGTCCTTGTTCAGGGTGCCTTCTTCTCTTCCCCTCAGTTTGTGGTAGCCCCTTCGGTTTCAGTTTCCTCCTCTTTGGTACGGGTGGTAGCTTTATTGGTGTGCAGCCTTTCTCTGTCCTGGCGACGGTCGAGACGGCTGCTTTCCGGAGGGGGTATTGGTACTTGTTTGGTTTGGCCGGGGGGTGCGTCCTGTGTTGTCCAGTTGTGCTTTTTGCTGTTGCCGGCGTACCGTGCCTGGGGATGCGCTGTGGTTGATCCGGTTCCTTCGTTCCCTGTTTTCAGGGCTCGGGTCTCCCGGGTCGTCCGCAGTGTTTTCCTTCTTACTGCGGTCTGTCTTTGCGCCCGTGCTGTTCAGACGTTTACAGCAATTGCTGCTGTGTTGGTGACGTCTCGGGCTCATTTCGGGCGCAGGGAATTGTGGGTCGCATAGGTTTTTGGCCGCCCATCCATGTGTGCGTCTGTTCTTGGGCGTTCTTGTTGTCTTGGGTCGCAGGTTTGCGACCGGTTGTCTTGGCTTTGCGTTGCAGAGTTTGTGGCGGCCGCCTCCCGGGTTAGCCCTTTCTTTTCCTTCTCTTTGGGTATGAAGCTCCAGGGAGCCGTAGGGGCTCCCCACAGAAAACCAGCGTTGAATGTAATGAAACGCCATTTTCTGGGTGAGCCCCGGAGGCTCCCTGGACACCC